ACTCGGATCACGTTTCGAATTGCTTCCAATCCCCATATCATGATTTTAATTAATTTGCGTATGAACTATACGGTTCAACCGTTCAAAGTGTTTTCGGGTACGGGGGGCGAGTGGGGGGGTATAAAGGAGGACTTGAATCGAGGTTGGAAAGCCAGTTCCAGTTCCAAGACTCCCCAAACCAACCCAACCCCACCAAACACACATTAATTCCCATGGACGTGTTCACCACCCTCTTCTCCGCCTTCACTTCGGCTGCGGCCTCCAGCTCTACCCCAGAGTGCATTGCATCCAACGCCGTCGAGGAGCTTCCTCAGCCCGAGACTGTCAACGATGACAGTGGCACGGGGTCGTCTGGTTCCTGTGTTGTCGCCTGAGCGGTAAATGTCAGTCTTGTTGGTTCTTGTCGTTCCCGGGCTGATTTTCCTGTCGTCTTCAGATCTTGCCGCAAGCATCCCAACCAGGCCGGAGGAATCGAGAGAAGTTGATGTTCTGGAGATTGAACTTTGATTGAACTAGTGGATTTTATTTACGGATTATTTATTATTTATGTGATTCTGGGCCTGGCCTTCTTTCTTGACGATTGTCCCCAAATGGTCATCCCCAACCTGAGCTATACTCTTCAGAACGGAGCATCGATGTAAGTACATATGTTCGCCCGCGGGTCGGACCTGGGGGTGAACAAGGACAAAGAGCGAGAAGAAGCCGCAGAAGTTCAACGTTCAACCTAACTCGCACCGGGCAAAAGAATGACCCTGATCCGAATTGAACGTCTGGAATCAGGCATTATTGGCCACTAAATTGAAGTCTCAGATGAAATGTGATCATGTACCAGATACCGTAGCCGAAGCAGACATCAAGTGAAGGTTATCGAGGTGTGCAAGACGCAAGGAAAAACGGTAAAGGGATATATTTACAGGAAAATTTGGGCTCTCAGGAGACAACTCCTTGCCTGGGAGAAGGAAAACACAGGGAAGCTACCCCGGATTGAACGGACGACCCGGAGGGAGGTTCAAGCCGGGCAGGTCCGAGCGCAGCGACGTATAGATGACGAATCCCAAAGAAACTGGATGTCATGATCATATTCTACCACTAATCACCGTCCTTTCCTTGGAAAGAAACGCCGCCGAAGTCACCGTCGCGCTCGGACTGAGCGGAAGAGCTTAGAGCAGAGATTGATGAGGAAGTGGAGCTCCAGAGGTAAGGAGAGGACGTCCACCCGGAGATTTCGTACGGGGCCCTTGCCAGCTGCGTCACAGTATGGTAGAGGTGTTTTCACCTAAGGTTGAGGCGCTTGTATGTAGGCGCCAAGTCGCATAGTATTTGACCGCACCGGGTAAAACAATTCGTTGCGGGAGTCGTTGAGAAAACCCAGACCCGTTGAACAACTAATACGTCGCCGAAGGTCCAGCGTAAGGGTCAGTCGGAGCCTTGGTCATCCAGTTGGTGAGGGCAGTCCGAGGAAAATCATCGAGGTCTAGATACTGCTAGCCCCGGAAAAGAGGCGAAAACCTGAGCATCGTCTGTGTACTAGGGAAAGAATGGAACAATCGCGCAGACGGAGGTACTCGGAGGTATCGCTACATCGAGCCAGCGACCGGCGGGCGCCCTGGGCACCAGATGCAAAGTGCCAATGTAACACAGCCCTGGAAAGAGGACCGAAAGGTCAAGCACGCGCTGGGATACTCGGGCAGACTGAATGTTAGACTGAAAGTTTCCATCAAGCTTGAGCTCCCGGATGTGTCGCCCAAGATTGTTCTTCCCCTGTAAACGCCGCCGAAGTTTACCGTCGTAGTCGGACTCGGACTGAGCTTAGAGGATAGATTGCTGAGGAAGTGGAGCTCCAGTAGTAAAGATGCGAGTGGGCTGTGTGATAGAGCGTGTCTTCAATGTCTTGTGCTGTCGAAAGCTTCTCTCGTTTCCAGAACATAAGAAAGGCCCACCGTCAGCGCAGGGAAGGGAGGAGGACGTAGATTATGGTGTGCGTCGTCATCCCTCGCAGTCGTCATCCAGGCGTCGAGAGCCAACCTGGACAGCGTCGCTGCGCATGGCAGTGCGTGCCATTGGCGTGCCATCGCAATACTAAATTAGTAACAGTGACTAGCCCCAGAAGAGACCAACATGGACGGCGCCGGAGCTGGATGGGACGATCAAGGCAAGATGGAGGTTTGGGGAGAGATGAGATCAGGTCGGATCAGTTCGCGCACCGTTGATGATGGATCAAATTTATTTCAGACCCGCCGACGCCAATCACGGGCTTCGCGGGGAGGTACTCCGCGGTGGATTCGTTCGGACGATCACTAGTACCAGTTCTAATTCTTCGCAATCAAGTTACATCTGTACTCAGACACTGCCGACGGACAGTCCCTGATTCCTGGGACACATTGATCCATGAAACACAGCGGGGAATAAGATGGGGCATGCACTTGATTAATTTATGCATGTACTGGTAAGGTTCAACCGTTGAAAGTGTTTTCGGGTATGGGGGGCGAGTGGGGGGTATAAAGGAGGACTTGAATCGAGGTTGGAAAGCCAGTTCCAGTTCCAAGACCTGCAAACCAACCCAAACCAACCCAACCCACCAAACACACATTAATTCCCATGGACGTATTCACCACCCTCTTCTCCGCCTTCACCTCGGCTGCTGCATCCAGCTCTACCGCAGAGTGCATTGCATCCAACGCCGTCGAGGAGCTTCCTCAGCCCGAGACTGTCAACGATGACAGTGGCACGGGGTCGTCTGGTTCCTGTGTTGTCGCCTGAGCGGTAAATGTCAGTCTTGTTGGTTCTTGTCGTTCCCGGGCTGATTTTCCTGTCGTCTTCAGATCTTGCCGCAAGCATCCCAACCAGGCCGGAGGAATCGAGAGAAGTTGATGTTCTGGAGATTGAACTTTGATTGAACTAGTGGATTTTATTTACGGATTATTTATTATTTATGTGATTCTGGGCCTGACCTTCTTTCTTGATGATTGTCCCAAATGGTCATCCCCAACCTGAGCTATACTCTTCAGAACGGAGCATCGATGTAAGTACATATGGTCGCCCGCGGGTCGGACCTGGGGGTGAACAAGGACAAAGAGGCTAGAGCGAGAAGAGGCTTCAAGTTCAACGTTCAACCTAACTCGCACCGGGCAAAAGAATGACCCTGATCCGAATTGAACGTCTGGAATCAGGCGTTATTGGCCACTAAATTGAAGTCTCAGATGAAATGTGATCATATACCAGATACCGTAGCCGAAGCAGACGTCAAGTGAAGATTATCGAGCCAGGAGAGATGCTAAAGGGATATATTGACAGGAAGATTTGGGCTCTGAGGAGACACCTCCTTGCCTTGAGAAGGAAAAACAGGGAAGACACGGAGGTTCAAGCCGAGCAGGTCCGAGCGCATCGAAGTATAGATGACGAATCCCAAAGAAACTGGAATGTCATATTTTACCACTAATCGCTGTCCTTTCCTTGGAAACACCGCCGAAGTCACCGTCGCGCTCGGACTGAGCGGGAGAGGTTAGAGCAGAGATTGATGAGGAAGTGGAGCTCCAGAGGTAAGGATGCGAGTGGGCTGTGTCATAGAGCGGACTTTGTGCTGTCAAAATAATGAGAGAGCTTCTCTCCTTGCTAGAAGATGAGAAAAAGGCCCACCGCCTGCGCAGGGAAAAAAGACAGAGATCATCGTTCGCAGTCGTCATCCAGACGTCGAGAGCCCAACTGCATAGCGCCGCTGCGCATGGCAGTGCATGCCATCGCCCCCCAATACCTATTGAATACTAAGAGCCGTGGAAACCGGCAGACCAACATGGACGGTGATGTGGGACGATAAAGGCGATATGACGCACACGCCATCATGGGTTTCGGCGGGTTTCGCGGGGGCTAGTACAAGGCTAGTATCCGCGGTGGACTCGTTCGGACGAACACCAATACCAATTCTAATTCCTCGCAATCAAGTTACATCTGTACTCGGACAGTCTCCAGTTCCTGGTACACATTGAAACACAGCGGGGAATAAGAAAGATGGGGCATGCATTCGACGCTCGGGCCTCAAGGCCTCAACTCGGATCACGTTTCGAATTACTTTCAATATGGAAATGGCCGCATCATGATTTTGATTAATTTGCACATGTACTCTAGTACTCTAAGGTTCAACTGTTCAAAGTGTTTTCGGGTATGGGGGGCGAGTGGGGGGTATAAAGGAGGACTTGAATCGAGGTTGGAAAGCCAGTTCCAGTTCTAACACTCCCTAAACCAAGCCACCCCACCCCTCCCCACCAAACACACATTAATTCCCATGGACGTGTTCACCACCCTCTTCTCCGCCTTCACTTCGGCTGCGGCCTCCAGCTCTACCCCAGAGTGCATTGCATCCAACGCCGTCGAGGAGCTTCCTCAGCCCGAGACTGTCAACGATGACAGTGGCACGGGGTCGTCTGGTTCCTGTGTTGTCGCCTGAGCGGTAAATGTCAGTCTTGTTGGTTCTTGTCGTTCCCGGGCTGATTTTCCTGTCGTCTTCAGATCTTGCCGCAAGCATCCCAACCAGGCCGGAGAATGAATTGAGAGAGATGTGAGATGTCAACGTTCTGGAATTGAGCTAGTGGATTTTATTTACGGATTATTTATTATTTATGCGATCCTCGCCCTCTTTCTTGACAAGACTGTCCCCGAATAGTCATCCCCACAACCTGAAGTCCACTCTTCGCAACCTCCCAAACTACTCTCCGTGAACAACGGAGCATCGATGCAAGCAAATATATTCGCCCACTGGTCGGGCCTACGCTGAACAGGGACAAAGAGCGAGAAAAAATGAAGCCGCCGCGGAAGTTCAACAGTCAACTCGATGCAAAAGAAATGACTGGAATTAGGCGTTATTGAACAGTGACATTTAACAGATACCATAGCCGAAGCGGACGTGAAGTGAAGATTCTCGAGGAGCGCAAATTATAGTTACTGGAAATGTCGGCTCCAGGGAGGAAAACTCCTTGCCTTGAAGAAAGTAAAAAGGGCAACAAAAATGAAGCTGGCCCGGATTGAACGGACGACCTTGACGAATCCGAAATAAACTGGAATGTCACATTCTACGACTGAACTACAGCTCCGATGGTGTCAGCCAGCGGGCAGAGTATCACAGTGGTACTATGAAGAGCAGGCGATGATCAAACATACTTTGCGTATGTTGTCATTCCGCTTTCTCTTTCTCCCATCATGCACATCCTAACTCGACATTCTCCCCTCTCATACCTACAGACTCATACACTCGTGTTCCACGCTCAAGACGGACATATTGCGATCATCCCGGCCATATCTCCTGGCTGACATCCGCCGGGCTGACAGACGAAAGGCCGTGTTCCGTGTGACAGCTCACCGCCCATTTCCAACTAGGTATTCGCTGGCAAACTATCACAGTGCCCTGACTCGTGCCCTGATCTCGGATGAGTCGGACAGCTCCTCAGAAGGCGCCAATCCCGACACATCCTAGACTCGAGCGGAAGATCAGCGCTCCAGCAGACGGACGTATCCTCGTGCGTCTGTCCACATACCGCATTGAATTAACGATTGACTCTCTTCATTGTACGCGGCGGTGAAGCAAATTACAATCTTCGATCGTTCCGAAGAGCTGCGCCCGCCGTTCGTGTACACAATCAATGTCCGTGGATTCCAAGAGCTAGGAGACTTGATTGAATCTTGATGGGTTTTACGTCCACAGAAATAGGTTGGACGGTCCCGACGCCGTGCTGTGCAGCGACATCTCCCGGCGGCTCGTATACATCCCGTGACGTTGAGGTCCGACTCCCGAGTCACGTCTCAACTGGTCAGATTGCCGCTAGTTCCCGCGCTCGCTCAGATGGTCCTCGGTTTTCAATCCTCGGCATCACCAACTCCAGATGAGTCTGCCCCTTGGCGTTTGACATTAATTACTCGAGCTCTATTTTGACGGAAAACATAGCTTTTGGCATATCCATGCCTGGGAGTTGATCCACTGCGGTCCTGCTGGCAGCGGCACCAAGTGAGTCGTCTAGAGTCGTTTGCCGCTACGTCCAGAGCTGTTTGGGCTTCCGCATCATGGTTGACTCAAGTCAATATTCTTTGGTGCGAGGAACATCTGAATTCAATTCAATCCGGGTTGCTCATCATGGACTGGGCGGCCTCCAGACCTATCTGGCGTTGAAATGATTGCCAGCATCGCATATCGTAGTAAATCGAGTGGCGATCCTCCACCGGCAATATCAAAGCTATCGTGGATCTGCTGTCTGTCAAGCCTTCGACGTCAAATTCCCAAGTCGACTCCCCACAGGAAAATACGTTCGACACGATCCACGTCATGCTTTCGGTGCCATCCTGTCTACGATTCTGCTTATAAGTAAGTGCAAGACCAAGACGAACTGTATACCATCGACTCACCCAGCAAGCAAGCAAGACATGAGCCACCACTACGGAAACAAACCCGGTTATATTCCGACCTCTTACAATTCTCTGCGCGAAGCTGGGATGTCAGGTCAGCCTCAACAGGCACCGCAGAACTACGGGATGGGTGCCCCCGCCGGTGTACCATCATACCCCACCAGCGCCCAATACCCGAGCACTCCCTACACTTCGAACGCGGGGCAGTGGGCTCCACAACAACCAGCGGCGTCGAGCGCCCACTACGAGAGCTACATGGCAAACGCCAACGCGGGAATGGCCTCTCCCTACAACAACGCACCACCAGCTCAACCACATACACCGAACCCATCTGCGCCCCACCCCGCGAACCACGGCGGGGTGAAACAATGCCGCCACTGTGGGACGATGACCACACCCCTCTGGCGGCGAGACCCCTCGACTCACGAAACGCTCTGCAACGCCTGCGGGCTGTATCTCCAACAGCGCCGTGAGCACCGACCGCAGATGCTCATCGACGCCGACCGCGAGGCCGAATACCACTCATTGCACGGAGGAGGAGGGGGTGATGGACCGCAATGCAACCACTGCCATACACGCGAGACAAGCGTGTGGAGGCGCGACAAGGAGGGGAACCAGGTTTGTAATGCGTGCGGAGTTTATCAACGGCTCCGGGGAGTGCCTCGCCCCTTGGAGTTGAAGCGCAGCAAGCCGAAGCCGAGGGCGAAGCATTCGCACTCTTAGATATTCGGACTTTTGGACTTCCATGGACTGTATTGAATGGTATGGATATTGGTTTCAATATCGGACCTTCTGCATGAATTTTATACATCTTCCCTGGGAAATTCCCCCATGGGTTGAAGCTCAATTTGAAGCTTGTGAAGCTTGAAGATGCGCAGGGATCCCGGATGTGCGACTCCAGCAAAACGCGATCCAAGAGCTGCTCGAAAGCGAGGACACGAGAACGCATTGCGCCTCTGACGATTATACAGTGTCCGATTGTTTCCGAGACCTCGCCAGCATCCCCATCGCCCACGGATGGAATGACTTCGATTACTCCACATACACATACAGGAGCTCTTCTCTCGCGTTTCCCTTCCTTTCATCCTCTCCGGCTTATCCTTTATAATGAGCCGGGGTCTGGATTCTGGAAGAGCTTTTGTAGCTCGGTAATTCTTCGGATGATGGACAGCACCTGTTGGTAGCATTTGATCCATCGATCCATCGATCAGCTGCCATCCGACACTTTGGCCGAGTGGTTAAGGCGATGCCCTGCTATCTTCCTTAGCTTCATAGGCATTGGGGTCTCCCCGCGTGTGTTCGAATCGCACAGGTGTCGTTCCTTTTGCTCGCATTATTTTGCTCACATTATTTTGCTTGCCGTCTCACAACACTCAACCGCGTGCTGTTTCTTTCGAAAAGAAAGTCCTCTCTGTCCACGCATTCCGTATTGTCCGAATATCGTCTATATACCAATCAAACTACTTTGGAACAGCACGCGCAGGTAAGAAAAACCCATGCGTCCCCTCCACCTCTTTTACTCCCTCAAACTTCCATCCAGCACTCTCCACCAACGCCTCCAACTCATCCTCCCGCCGCTCCTTCCCGTTCAAATTCACCATCATGACCACATCTTTGACGTACCCCATCGTGTTGGCCGCACCGTATGTGGGTAGGAGGGGCTCCGGCGGGTCTGACGAGTTGGAGTTGGAGTTGCCCCGGAAAAGGTAGGGCAGCGCGTGGTCAAGGATGATTAGCACGGTGTCTGGATGTGCGGCGGCGCGCAGTTGCTGGAGGATCTTGCGTGCGTCTTCGTCGGACCAGTCGTGTAGAACGTATCGCATGAAAAAGATCGAGACGGGGGTATCCGTGGGGCGGCTTGGCTGTGGGGCGAAGAAATCCTGGGCTGAGTGAGGCGCATTTGTCAACACATGAGGGAGGAACGTGAGATGAGACGGACCTTGGAAAACAACGCGTTTGGATTGGACGGCTTCGGGCAGCTCGGCGTTCCACATCTACGATGATAATATTGGGTTGTGCCATGACTCGAGGAATGTTTAAACCAAGACTTACGCTCAGCGCATCTTGAACGACGTTCTTGTGATCCTGAACGACGATTTGCAAATGCGGGTGTTCTTTTGCCAGGGGGAGCATCGCCGATCCGACGCCCCCACCTACGTCCACGACGATAGAACCTTCAGGTAACTCCGCCCAGGGGTACGCTTGAAATCACCGGAGTGAGTGAATCGATCCATTCACAGTCAAGTAACAACGTACCCTCTAAAATGGCGGAAGGAGGTTGAAAGTCGCTGTATCCTGTCCAAATCACCGCGGCTCAGATCGAATGGAAAGACGGAAGAAAACGGGAAGAACACGCACCTCGCATAGCCTGCGCGAACAATTTCCTCGCGAACTCCCTTCCTGGCTGCTCGTTCCAAACCCACACCGGGACGTCGATGCCCAACGCACAGTGGGAAGCACTGTGGATTACGTCGTAGGAGAATGCGGTGGTAGGGTCGCTCAGGGTTTCCCAGAGTTGGGCTGCGGCTGTTGCTCTGGAACCGAGGCTATGTTTCCCACATCTGTAAGTTTTAAAACGTAGGACTAGTCGCAGGAACAAACATGAACGAAGCCACAGCTGGGAATGCGGCGGATGTGGTATTTAGGTATTTCGTTTCGGGGCTGAACTCGAGTTAGTGAGGCAAGACGTGAGCGTTTGAGCAGGTACCTGGCGCATAGGTCGGAGGGCTTTCCTGTATCCAGTGCCGCTGAGAGACGATTGTTGGCAAATACGTCCGGAGAGACCTCTCTGTAGATGTGGTTGGACGCCAGGTAGCGCATCAGACGAGCTGTAAGGCGGTCAGCTTGATGATTGACTGGGCCTGGTGTCCGCACCAAGTTTGGCGCCATCTATATTAGACTTGGCGGCGATCTCATGAGCGTGCATACCCTGTTTATGTTTCCGCATTCAGAAAGTTGTGGTCATTCAGATCACTAACCTCCACCCCGGCTTCTCGAAGAATCTCAGTGGCATTGCTCTCGAGGCAAACCCTCAGTGCGGCCGCTTTATAGACCTAAAACGTTGATGAGTTACGTGTAATAAGACACAGATCAAATCTCACCCCATGAACGACGTCAAACACCGCCTCGCGTGGTGTCCTCGCAAGCGCCGCAAGCTGCAGCCCCGCGGCGACAATGATTCGAGAGGCTCTCCGCGCCGCCGGAGTAGCATTCAAAACTTCGGAAGCTTGTACCGGGTGCGCGTCGTCCAGGTCGGGGAGAGTGGTGTTTGTCTCGTGCGAGATGCGCTCAAGCGCCGTGACGGACTCTTGAATGAGAGAAGCGAGTTGGCGGAGCTGTTGCAGGCCGGACATTGTTGGCTTTGTGAGGGTGTCGAGTGCTGATTAAATACTGCCACTGCCAGGGCGTTAGGAGATAGTGAAGATGTCCACTAAGCTACTCTCGGCTGGCATACAATCGTACGATGTGTGCAAGATGCCGCACGGCTTTGCGGAGATGAGGGTTTGCCCAAGGTAAGATGAAGGACTGGAGAGTCAATATGAAAGTATACAGGCCAGTGACAGACAGGCGGGTTTCCGCAGGGCAGCAAAGCGGCGAGGCGCTGACACGTAGTGACGTAGACGGCAGGCATGTTCCATATCTTGATTCATCTGGCAGATGAGACGAAGGCTAGAGTCGATGAGGCGAGAATTGAGCA